TAGTCAAAGAGTCCTTAGTTCCCTTAGTTACCAGGTCCTTAGCCACAACATCCTCAGGGACAACTGCTGCAACTGAACTACAACCACAACAAGTGTTTCGTTTGGTTTGTTTCGTTTCAGTGCTGTCAGTGTTCACAGTGTTTCCAGTGTTCATGGTGCTCAAGTCCATCGGTGCTGGTCCAGAACCCTTCACACCACTCTTGTGCTTTGAAAGCAAACTGACTTTCAGCCACCATGCTCTCTCAGAAATCTTCAAAGGAAGTTTCAATTTCTTCAAAAACAATCCACTCTCCTCAGCATTGCCAAGGACTGTCTTCCAACCAGTTTCCAAAAGGGCGTAAGTTGAGATCACATTCAAAGGAATTCCTACCACTACTACACGCTTCATGGTAATCTTCGTCTTACCTACCTTGAATTCCAGATCTACAACCCCTTTGACAGGCAGATCATTGTCTCCTGCACCCTTCAAGCTTGGAGATGGACCAGGATACTCAAAACTCACAGTGTAGTGCTTGACCCACTTCTCAGAAACGATGTGGCATGTAGCCCCTGAGTCTACCAGCCAGCAGGTCTTAGGATCTCCTATCCCTACACTACCTACAAACTCTTGCAGTGTGCTGCTCAGGTGGTGTGTCACCGGTCTCTCAGTACTCGATGTCCCTGTGGCCCCCTTTGGCCCACCAGCATCTGATCCAGTCTTCACTGCAAAGGATTTGACTACCATAGCAGCCTGGTTTCCACCATCCTGCTCAACTTCTGGTTCTTGAGACTCCTCAGCCTCTGCAGGTTCTTCACCTTCTTCAACTTCTCGAAACTTTCCTCCTTTCCCTCGACCTTTGCCTCGGCCTTTGCTGCCTTTGCTCTTGACAGCAGGCTTTGCCTTAGGCTTTGCAACAGGCTTGGGTGTTGAGGAAGCTCCAGGTCGTTTGCTGGGATCCTTGGCCCAGCAGCCCTTAGCTGCATGACCTGACTTGCCGCAATGGCTGCATTTCACAGGCTGTGGGCAATCACGAGCAAAGTGTCCTCGTTTGCCGCAGTTGTGGCAAGTGACACCTTCAGAACCTTGCTTTGGCCCTGTTGCCACATGAACTCTGCTGTCCAGGTCATTGGTGAGTCTCATTCGAGTGTGGTACGCAACCACAGACTCCCAAACCCTGGCAACAGTAGTGGCACCACAGTGGAGTTGAACATATTCTGCCACCTTCTCTGGTAAATTTCTCAGATATAGCAAAAATTGATCTCCCTCATTGATGCGCAAATCAGCCAATTGACCTGCAATCAGTGAAGCTTCCAACATGGAGTGAAATCCCTCAATCTCAGCCCCAATTTCTCTCAGCACATCCATGAGAAGATGCCTCTCGCTCTTTTTCACGGTGTACTTCAGGCAGGCTTCTCTGTATTGCAGCGCCTCTGGACGGCTCATCAAACTGAACTCCCTGCGCAGCAATCTCAAAAGCTCAAAACCATTTGCCTCCTGAATGCCATAAAATGCAATCTGAGATTTCACCACATTGTCAACCCTTGAGTATCCAGAAAAGCTCTGCTGGAGCAGATGAAACAGTCGACGACTTCGAATGGCTTGATCTTGGTTCACGATCACCACAGAGTATGGCAAGTTCAGAGCTTCCTTGAGCTCTTGCGCATAGCTATCGTGGACAAGACACAGCCACGATGCAAACTTGTCTAACCAACCCTTGAAACCAGACAGCTCTTTTGACCTTGTACTCCAAGACTTCCAGTCTGGCAAGGGTGCTGCTGGAATCCACTTGGTATCCATGGTAAGACGTTCACTTCCTTGTCCTTGACTTCCTTGGACCTGAGCTTGGGGCACTAGCCCTGGCAGGGAGGGACTGCACCTGCTCCCTGCGCTGTACGTGACAGAAAGTCAACCATGGATTGGGTCAGCAACATTTGCTGTCGAAGTACTTGCATCATCAGTGGATCTTGGCTCACAGGAACTCCTACAGGAACTCCTCCTGGACCTCCTCCTGGACCACTACTGGTGTCCAGAAAACCAGGCGGCATTGCAAACGTAACTCCACTGGCTGGTGTGCTCTGTGATGTTGATGGGCCTGCTGACTGGCCTGTCGATTGGCCTGTCTGCCAGGCACCAGAGGGTACTAGTATAGTACCAATGGTCCACCCAAAACCCTCCCAGCTAGGACCGATACTATTTATTAGCATTCTAGCACGCTTCACTACGCTCGCGGTAAAGATATATATATATATGTATAAAAACTCATCTTGAGTGTAAACTCATCTCTCACCTTTATTTCAAAAATCTCACAAATCTCAAAAATATACCAAACAACTCCAAAAACCGAAAAACATCACAAGCAAGGACATCACTGCCGTTTCGTTTCGTTTGTTTTGCCGACGGAAGATGCACAACGCCATATATCATATTTTTTCCGCTTTGATTATTTCTCAAAGTGTCGGTGTTCCCAAATCCATTTCCTTCGGGAAAACTGCTTCTCACCAAATTTCCGGGTGAGTTTCCGAGCAAGTTACGGTTTCCCCCTACTTATCGGGTTTGGGTGGGTGGGACACTTTGGTCTCCAACCCAATTTGATCCACTTACTGGCAACCATAAATACAGAATTCATTCTGATTTCTCTGCCAGTAAAATTGTTGATATGTTCATGTATTCTTTATAACCGGTTTCATCATCAAAATGAAACGACATCACAAAAAGGAAATGTTCCAATGCTTTCCCAAAACATTCTGAAAGAATTCGCACATCCGAGGTAAAGGAAAATCATGAAATAAGTTCAGGTGATCACAGGATTCACTGAAAGTTTCCTTTTACCTGTTTAGTTGGTTTCAAGTTTTGTCAAAACTTCCGAGAAACCAGAACAACACCGCGAGAGATAAGGAAGTACCGCGTAACAAGTCGCATAAGCCGATACGACTAACAAACGCTAAAGCGTAAGGGTAAAGAGTTTGGACCGACCGATTTTAAACCGGATGCATCCCCTTGGATAGCATCAAACCTAGTGTACTAACTAATACACTATCGCAACAAGTCGCGAGTGCGTACTAGTATAGTACCAATGGTCCACCCAAAACCCTCCCAGCTAGAACCGATACTATTTATTAGCATTCTAGCACGCTTCACTACGCTCGCGGTAAAGATATATATATATATGTATAAAAACTCATCTTGAGTGTAAACTCATCTCTCACCTTTATTTCAAAAATCTCACAAATCTCAAAAATATACCAAACAACTCCAAAAACCGAAAAACATCACAAGCAAGGACATCACTGCCGTTTCGTTTCGTTTGTTTTGCCGACGGAAGATGCACAACGCCATATATCATATTTTTTCCGCTTTGATTATTTCTCAAAGTGTCGGTGTTCCCAAATCCATTTCCTTCGGGAAAACTGCTTCTCACCAAATTTCCGGGTGAGTTTCCGAGCAAGTTACGGTTTCCCCTTGTTTAACGAGGGAAGTCACCAGGGATCAAGCTTCTTCCGTTTCTTGTTTTTGACCGGCTTCGGACCTGTCACTTTACGTTTTCTTTCCTCCGCCAGTTCCATGTGAAACTCCTGTGCTTTGGCCATTAGCCCATCCAACACTAGCCACCGGGTGTCTCCTCCGACAAACTGAACACGGCTATCAAGGGAAAAGTGTTTGAAGTCCTGATTTGTCAAGTCATCTGCAAGCTGATTCCGCTCTCTCGGAATCCATTCCAAGTGAAGTTCACATCCCCTGGTTCTCAAGGTTTCCGACAACTCCATTATTAGAATTGTTAAAGGATACTTTGTGCTCATCCACTTGCTAACTGCGTATGAGTTAGAGAGATTGTCCGTGCCTGCCTTGATCCAGCAGGTACCCCTGGCACCCTTTCTCAATCCTTTAGCCCACAAGCGCGTTGCCACCAAGGTTGCTAACAACTCTAAAGATGCTATGACCCTCTTCGGATCCTTTCGAATGAAAAGCCATGGTGCCCAACTTTCAAGCACCTCCTCAGAGAACCACTCAATTATGCTACCGTCCTGTGATTGAAGAAACCCCCCAATCCAAGCGCCATGTTCTGTAGCTTTAACATCTGTAAAAAAGGTCACGTCCGCCCTATCTGTCGTACGAAGAGGAGCTGGTTCTTGTAAACTGCCCCCATCTCCCGTACGTTCCGCTAGAAACCAAAGAATAGTGCGTAGCATTGCCGGTATCCGCAAGATTCCTCTTTTGTTTCTGACAGCTGATGTCCAAGCGTAAAGAGGTCCTAGGAAAGGACGTTCCCAAGTCAGCGCGTTTGCAGCGAAGCCTAGTCGGCCCAGGCCTTGCTCCATCTCTTTTGATGTAGCCCTTCCCAAGACTGCCATCTTTCTTGTCCAAGTTTCCATCCACGCAGACCTGCTAGGCGACAAGCCAAGGCGCATTGTAGTATAATCTGTAAAGAGTCCAATCCATTCCACTTTTAGCCCCCCTCTCTGCTTCGACCATTTGAAAGGAAAACCCATCGTTGAAAGATACAAGTAAGCTAAAACAATTCCTCTTCTGCCTTCCAGTCCAGCTCCCAAGGATTCAAGATCGTCAGCAAATATGAGCATTTCGATTGGTCGTTGAGGCCCAATTATCTCATGAGTGAGTCTGATTCCCGCTGCAGCAATCCTTCCCCACCAATAACTAGCTGAAGCCACTCCAAAGGTTCCAACCCGATTGATGAAGATGTGGTCGTCATTGTTTTTGACGCGGCATGCCAGTAATCCAAGTTCCGAAGGCTCATGCAAGAATCTCCTATGAGCTTTACTTATATCCCCAACAAGGCTGAAGACAATGTCACCCCTTGCTTTGTAGTAGGCCAAAAGATACATTTTCTCTCTAGCTCCAGGACTCCGTTGTTTGTCTCTGCAACGTATGCGGTTGTTTATTTTGGTGCCGTGTGTGGCGTCGTGGATGATTCTCTTTTTGTTCCCGTGGGCTTCTTCAACAAGAACAGCTAAAGAGGAGACCGCCACTTTGTCACCAAAGCGTTCTTTCGCCTGCTCCAGCGTCAACCTTTCCATGAGGCCCTCTTTGCATTCTTCCGCAAAATGCTCTCGAACAAAATCTCATGATCCCCAACAGACTCGTAGTTGTCTCTCCAAATCTCTGACCTCATGTATGGGTCATCCTCCAACTTCCAAGACGTCTGCTCCTCGTACATGTGTGGTGTACGGGGTAAAGGCTGTAGGACTCCTACAGGATACCCCTTCTCACCTTGAAGCAAGAATCTATGATCTGGATCTCCAGCTCTGTCCAAAAGCGCTTCCATTAACCTCAAGCGAAAGGGTTGCCCCTCGGCTATATCTGCAAGACCAGCGGTGTTGTAACCTTCCTGTTGCAGCATGTTCCTCCACAGGTCCACCAGTCCATCTTTGAGTTCCTGATTTTGTACCAAGTTGCAGCCTGCTTCACCTTTCGCTGCCATCTCAAAACAAGTTCTGTCGAAATTCTGTTGCCCCCCACAAAATTGTAAAACCAGTTGGTATGAGTCACTCCTCAACCGTTTCCAAAAACCATCGTCATTCCATATGCGGTCTTCTATGTCCCATCTACCAGGTGAGGCCAAACCACATCCGTCGTGAAACATCCGTGATTTTCCAGGAACTTCGCACTTCCTTGCTTCTCCATGACCCCCATGTAGTTTCCAACCCTCTGGTTGTGATATTGGGTAACCTTTATCCAGTGATTTCTGTTTTTCCACACCATTTGCAGTTTCTCCCCCACCGCAGGCAGAAAGGGTGTGGAGTGTGGTCCATCGCTTTAGGATCTTTTGTGCAACCCACCTGCAAAAAGCACTTGGCCACTGTTATGTACCTGCAGTTGTAAACTTTCCACCATATTGTCCAATAAGTTGCACTTCTGTTTGACGTCTCTGCAATGGACCCTGATAAAAACCTTGATCATCAAACTGAGGCATTCCTGGCGCCATGGTGTCCTTCTCCATCTCGAAATCCTTCAGAAACAAACGTGTTGGCTTCAAATATGCAGTGCCAAAATCCGATTGGTAAAACGCACAAGTCTGAAATTTCCCTGAATCCAAGAGTTCTTGCACTGCTGGCCACTGCCACATGCTCGCCGGTCTTTGCCCCCTATAGTGGCCCGCTTGTACTGCTCCCAAATCCTCTGGATTCTCAAAAATGAGCATTGTATCCAAGTTTTGTACAGCTTTGCAGACTTGAAAAGAAAAATCTGTCATAGTATTTCCCCAGTTTGCCTTCTTCCGTTCTGTCCACGTAAGTCTTGACAGACCCCTCAAATGCACGTAGGATCGCACAGGCCTTGGGCCCTTTCTGTTTGAGAAAGTCGCCCTAGTGAAAGTTGAACACGGTGGGCTCAATATGATTGCCGCATAATACCCAGCTGAAATCTTGTTTAACAAATCACGCTGAACTGAATCCTTTGTTAAATCCAAATGTGGCCGCACCTTGATGTCCACCATGTCCACTTGTACCCTAACTCCCCACTTTGCGGCGAGTTTCGTTGCCCAGGACTTGACTGACCCCTTTCGGGGTGAACCTGAAAACAAGTAAAGAATCCTGCAAACCGCCAAATTCTGTGAAACCTCCTTGCATCCATGCTGTCCCTGTCAGGTGCCTGTGGTGTCAGGCTGAACCTTCTCTTTGCAATTCAACGCGTTGTGCCCCTTTTTGTAACACTTGTTGCACATGTGGCTGAACTTGCACTTCTGATAGTTGCACTTGCCCGCATTAAATCTGAAACAGATCTTCTCTCCGTCTGGACCCTGACCTGAGCCCTTGTTAGAACCCTTTGACTTGCCCTTACTCTTTCCCTTTCCTTTTGGGTTCCATGTCCCTTGATTTGGGCTACTGTTTCCCTGTGGATAAGCCCTCTTTGAGTACAGTGCAAGTGGGGTTATAAAATGCCTTTCTTTTGTTGTTGGGCATTTCCAGGCCTTCTCCAAAGCAGCACCCAGCATCAACTTCTCCGTGGTCATGAGGTTGTATGCCCTTTTTCGAATTGATTGCTCATAGGCCAAGACCAAGCTCCAAGGCGGCGTCTGGATCTGTTGACCCTGTAAGTCTGTTGAACTCAAGCCCCAAACGTAATCACCAAGCAAATAGTCTTTGTACTTGTCAAAAACATCCTTGCTAACATCCTGGATTTCTTCACGATTAACATGTTTGAGTGCCAACATCATCAGGCAGTTCTGCATCACGCTGAGGCGTCGACGTAGCTGTTCTGGTCCAGTTGGCATTGGCACTTGAGAGCTGCCCTTTTTCACAGAAAGACTTCCTTTGCTATCGAAAATGGGAACCAAGACATCAGGGTCAATTTCATCTTTGGAGACTACCTCTGCTAAGGTCTCTGCTCTGAACTCTCCATTCTCTAACTCTTGCAACTTCTTCTCCAAATACTCCTTTGCTGGAGTCACTCTGTCCTCAATATGTCCAATCGTCTTCTGGAAAAAATTTCTAAGCTGCACATAGTCCCCAACAGGAATCGGTTTTGTCCACTCACGTGAATCCATCTCTGCCTCCACTTCCGCCTGCCGCTTCGCCTTCGTGATTGTCTCCTTCCAGCTGCAAATGACTGAGGCCACCTGCGCCCTATCTGCCAAAGAAGCACTTGCATCAATGTTGAAATCATCTCTCAAGACCTGTATCAGATCTTCTTCACTGCGGAAAAAGGATGAAAACTTGTTCACATTTGTAACACCGTTCTCAAAGAAATGCGCTTGAACTTCATCTGGAACATCGTTGCGACTCAGTGTAAAACGTAGATCTGAACTTCCAAGCTTCAACGCATCTCCAAGGGCCCTAGGCCCCACTAACAGTCCAGCCATCCACGCAAACGCAGGTGAAAAATACGATACTTCAAACGCATTCAACAAGTTTCAAAAGAACCTGTTTATCCAAAACTTGTGAAGCAAAACCAACGTTGTGTAAAGAATCTGATTATTTCCCCGTGCATAACATGCCAAGAGAAAGTTTATATCGCCTCAAGCATCCATGTCTCCTCTTCAAACAGAGGTCACCGCTGGAGCCAACAAACCGGGAATCTGCGGATTCCATTATTACCTTTTCCGGTCTCAATCCACTGAGACTGTTTGGCCCTGCCGTGCAAAAGGTTGAAATGAGCAAATGACCGGCCAGGATTCAATGTTCCGATCCTGACTGCTCCATGTTCCGACCCTCTGCAATTGATGCATTCATGTTTTTCACCTATTGGCATGTTATCAGCAAAACCAACTACTGCTCGTTTTGAGCCCACATGTGAAACGTGAAACATGACAGAGTGAAAACGCCTACCACACTGGCATCCCGAGTTCCAGAATCAGAAGGACTATGCCCTCCAATCGTCTGCCCTTCTCCATGCTCTTGAACTCAGCTGCTGGAATCACTCGAACTTGAAGAGGAGCCTGTATCAGATGATGTCTCACCCGATGATTCTTCATCCTGCTTCTCTTTTGGCCAGCATACCCTACAAACATGCGTGAACTCGGTATCCGTTGGGCGCTCTTCAAATTCCACTGACTGTTTGAAAATTCTCTCCCTCGCCATCCAGCAGCCACCACTCGCTTTGTGAAGTCTCTTGCAGTTCTTTCCAGTTGTAACTACTATGAACCCTTTGGTCCTGCTTGTCTTTCTGTCATCCGTTGCACCATCGTCCAACGGTTCCTCCAGCACCTCTGTCTGTTCTGTATCGCACTGTTCTCCTAAAGGCCCTTCTACTTCATCATGGATTGCAAAGGAATCCATGGACGCCATAAGCTGTGAAACCAACTCTGCCCTCTCTGCATCAACTATCTCCGTCTTCCTATTTCTCAACCACGCATCTGCACTCTCTGCCACGTCAATTTCATCCAAGAGACGGAATCTATCAGGTTTTCTCATGGCTTTGCCATACAGCCCCTGAAGTTGAGCTACCAGTCCATTATAAGATCTGATATAGGTATCACTTGCTTCCGGCTTCCACCTACCAACCAAATCCCTCTTTGAGGTCTCAACTCCAAGCATTGCCAACGCTGTCGGCATCGTCGCTCTCTCGCTGTGCTCTGTCCAGAAAGATGCAAGTTCTTCCGGAAAAATTGCATTGAAGTCATAATAACTCGGCAGAATCTTTCTCAAATGACATGCATATGAAGAGACGTCCTGATATGTTGCATACTTCATCTGAAAACCTGCCCAGTTCTCCATGAACTTCGGAAGCAAATAATCACGCTCAAAGTTTGCATGCTGTTTGAGAAGTCGAAAACCAGTTTCAATCCAAGAAACATCCCAAACATATGCTTTCTCCGAAATGCACACTGGAAGTTCCTGTACTCTCTTCCCAGGACCTGAGGTCTTGGTGACCCTTAGCGTCGTCGTCAGCCTGCCCCCTGTGAGTTGCAAGTCTGCTGGCTTTATCTTCTGCATATCATCAAAACGCAAAGCTCCCCAAATCTTAAGCAGCTTGACCCATGCCATGATCCTCAAACATACTGTTCTTTCTGTATCCAGCACCAAAGCCTCTAGGGATTCGACCGCCACTGCAGGATACCTTGGAGCCCTTCTGACAGGGGGTGTATCTGCAGCAAGTTTCTCTGTGATATAATCACGGATCTGACAAACTGCTCTTGACGTTGAAACGATGGATGCCTCTCCAAAACCTGCTGTCTTCTCAAACCATGACACAGCCTTGCAGATGAAAATGGGGACTGTTGCACCACAGGGTTCATCAAAACGACTGAAGAGGTACTCACAAAACATGCCAGGATGGACATAAGCTTCCTCTCCCCATGTAAGGTTCTTCCAAGACTGCCAATCCCTCCATGCCTTGATGTACCTCTTGAGTGTACTAGATCTCGTCTTACCAGCTATGGCCACATGTAAGCGCTCCTGGTTGACACATACCTCCATGCCCTTCAGGATGGGTGCATCAACACGCAAAAGCTCTTTGTACAGATTCTTTGGACCATCTATCTTTGTGGGATTCTTCATGATCTTTCTTTGCTGTCGACTGTTCCACCTTGCACCTCTGCCTTGCACTCAGCGGAGTCCAACGCTGGTCAACTGTCAGAGTTCCTGTCAAACCAGTCGAACCTGAAGAAGAACGAATTGAATTATACTTTGACTGCATGTGACTTCCTACCAGCAATGGATCCTGTGAATGCTCACCACGCAAACGCTTGCAAAAAGGCTCCGACTGTGAAGTGGACTGCAACCAGCCTAAAATAACTTCCTCATGTAGACTCTCACAGATCAAGCCCAAACTCTCGCAAACCTGCTGTGCAATAAGTGGAGCTTCTTCCGGTTTAAAAACAGACAGCTTCTTATGATCCATACCATGTTTCTGCAAAACGTCCCACATCAACTTCTCTAAATGATTTCTCTCCATTGGTCCTCCCTCCATAGGGAACACTAGTGTTCCATGGCCACAGCCGCACCGAGTAAGACACTTTGGTCTCCAACCCAATTTGATCCACTTACTGGCAACCATAAATACAGAATTCATTCTGATTTCTCTGCCAGTAAAATTGTTGATATGTTCATGTATTCTTTATAACCGGTTTCATCATCAAAATGAAACGACATCACAAAAAGGAAATGTTCCAATGCTTTCCCAAAACATTCTGAAAGAATTCGCACATCCGAGGTAAAGGAAAATCATGAAATAAGTTCAGGTGATCACAGGATTCACTGAAAGTTTCCTTTTACCTGTTTAGTTGGTTTCAAGTTTTGTCAAAACTTCCGAGAAACCAGAACAACACCGCGAGAGATAAGGAAGTACCGCGTAACAAGTCGCATAAGCCGATACGACTAACAAACGCTAAAGCGTAAGGGTAAAGAGTTTGGACCGACCGATTTTAAACCGGATGCATCCCCTTGGATAGCATCAAACCTAGTGTACTAACTAATACACTATCGCAACAAGTCGCGAGTGCATAAAAAACTTCCATCTGATCTTCCACCCACACCTGTATTGAAGCTCAGCCATGGTGCTGTGCCTGCACATGGGTCACCACTTCCTTGTAGAGGATCTCCCATGTGGTACACAGGTGTTGTTCCTGCATTGACAGCTCCATCATTTCCTGAGACCATTCCTGCAGGAGCACTGGACGCACTTCCTTGACTCACAGTGCTGTCTGGCGCCGTACTTGGACTCATTGGCACAGGTCCAGACATCTTCTCAGGTTCAGATCTCTTAAGATCTCTTCTAAAACCTTCTCAACTGTCCAGTGTCGATCTTTCACAGATCACAGCAACCTCTCTTAGCGTCTACCCCTCACCCTCAGGATCACTGGGGCTCCGCTACCATGTGAAAACACGAGAGCGGCGTGGCAGTTCTTTTTCACAGCTCGGACTTGAGCCAAACCATACAGGTTTGACAGCTCAGTCACTCTTCTTCTTAGAAGAGTCGTGCAGAGTAAAACGCAGTGACACTCAAACGTCTTCAAACTTCTCAAACTACTTCAAAAGAGTTCTCAAGCTTCAAAAACGTTCTTCCAGCTTCTCCAAATAAAACGGTCTTCAACTCAAACTCACAAATAACCTACAAAACTCCAACCAAATAAGTTCACAACATCAAGTTCCTTTTTTTGTGGTCGGCGCCCGTTGCCTTTCGGCGGGTCGCACTTGAGACTCCCGAGTGGACCAGCAGGGATTCGAACCACCACCGGCAGTCTGTCAGCGCTGGCAAGACCAACGCCATACCAACTGAGCCATCGGGTCGCCTCACACAACATCAAGTTCGTAAGACATGGGTCAAACAACATCCAAAAACACCAAAAACCACAAAAACAAACGAAAATGCATCTCCAAGCTCTTCCATGCACAAACTGGTTCCATTTGGTTCCAAATTGGTTCCTACCTAGTTCCTATAGGTTCCTATGGTTATAGTTCACAGATCGGTTCCTACAAACTTAAAATGGTCACCTAACTGTTCACATGCACATGCATTGTTCCAAGATAGGTTTAAAGATGTTCATTTTTTTCCTCGAGTGCGGCCGATGTCGCGCTAAAGGCTCGGTCCTTACATGAGAGTAAGCAGCAAAAACTCTATACAAGGACACAAAGTCCTTGAAATCAGCAGATCGATTGAACCAAAACAACGAAAACCACAACCACACAAAAAGCGACGACCCGCAAATCCCCCAGCCAGACTTGCGTTTCGCCAGCGGAAACAAGGCAAACAGCAAAACAACACCAAAACCAAACCAAAAACGGGGCCAGAGCCCAAACAGAAACACCCACCGAATCGATCAGGTGTTGGACGCAGTGGCACATCCACTGCGTCACTATCAAAAACATGCAAACGAAAACGAATTAAGTATCACAGCTGTTCAGGCAGACATGAAGACTCCAGCTAGGAGGTTACCCTAGCATAAGACAAGCTGTACATGGACGCAGATCCACAACAAAATCCTCTCAGAGTCCTCTCAGGTCAGCTCGTCATGGGCCTTCATGGGCGTAATAGTCATCCTCTTGACTGTTAGCTGCGATCACAAATCCAATTGTCAAATAAGGTCAGAACCCCCCCTTAAAGGGGGGGACAGTGATGACAATGAGGAAGCAAAGAAGGCCAGGGAGCGGTTTCCAAGCATGCCATCCCCAAAAACAAGAAGCGGGGGAGCACGCCCCTAGTTTCATAGGGGAGATGCATCCATCCGTTGTATGGTCTCAGTCAGCGACGTACTTGGTAGTATCCGCAAAGCTGAGCAACATGCAAAAAGGGCTTGCGTCCAAAAACTGTCATTGCATTTGTAAAAACTCTGTTTTGAACCCACAAAGCCTCGCACACAACGTCGTTTCACATGCTCATGCGTCTTGCATGACATGAGGTTTCCTTTCACTGGTTTCAGTGTTTGGAGTAGCTTTCAACTAGCAAACTGCTACACGCAACTGTTCTAAACCGGCTAAAGTGGTATGAAAACATTTCCATACCCCGCCTTTGGTCCATGAGTAGTGTTTACTCGATGGAGCAAACTGCAAATGTTTCTACCTAGGGCATGAAACAAAAACAGCAAACAAACAAAACTCAATTCCATGAGGACTTCGGGTAAGTCCCATTGCAAAAGGGCCATGGAATTTCATTGAAAGCAACAGCTTGAGTTCACGATTTTGCTGACATTGTATCAGCGAACCATGTCTCCTATGCGCTCTCAGCTCCTGCAAGAGATCATGTTAGCTCTTGCCAGGCATGAAGACTCATCTTTGCCCAGCAGGATCATGTTAGCCTGCTGCGACATTGCATTTCTCACAGATCGCCATCATCTGTGACTTCACCTCTTGCTATCTCTTCATTTTCCTGTTCCATCTGATTTTGCTGCTCATCCCACAGCTCTACATCTGACACCTCATGGCGTTCAGATACCATGTATCTGTGGAATCTTTCATCTTCTGCTTCATGGTGCACTTCCATCCAAACTTCGGGGTCGGACACTTCTGACATAGTTGATTGGCAATACCTGTGATATCGTTCTTCCTCTGTTTCTCCTGGTTCTTCACCGTCGTCGTTTCCAGCTGCATGTTCTGGACGGCGACGAAGGTGTCCAAACATGCTCATACCAAATTGGTAGCCTTGAAAGGCCTGTCCAATATCATCCATCACCTGTTGCTCATTGAACTGGAAACGCGGTGACCTCTCATCGTCTGTAAGGTCTGTCATTGCTATCAGGCTTTCTTTCATCTGGTTGTGTCTATCATCGGTTGTATGGTCCATGAACATATGGATCATTTCAGAAAGTCCATTCATCCTTTCTGCATTCACTAGAACATTGTTCTCTCGCCTGATCCTTGCTTGACATCTAAAGTAGAGCCAAACCAGCATTCCTTCAGCTCTGAAAGTTGCATCTGCAAACACTCCAGGAAATTTCATTCCCAAAGACCTCGGATTTGCCTCGTATCCAGAGCTCTGCGGTTCTGTCGCGGGTTCCATTGGCGTCTCTTCATCTCGCTGTTCGGGTTCTGGTTCTTCATCACTGCGACTCGTTGGTACCATGTATGCAACCAACGTAAGCATCACCAGAAATCCACACAGCACTGCAAAAACTATTGGGCTCCCAATGCCGTGCCACCAGCTCAAGGCTCTGAAGGCATCCATCTTGAACACAAGAAAATTGGAAACCATGGAACCATCGGCCATACCCAGTACGCTCCAAATAGAAAGGACTCTGAGAAATTGTTTTGCAAACTTGTTTGACTGCGAACATGAAACATATGAAGTGGTGTCTATCATCGTTTCTCGAACTGTTCTGACTTGGTGTTTCAACATTTCCTTTGCTTCCATTCTTGAAAATTCCAACTCTCCAACTGGTTCATCACTGCAGACAAAACCGAGCAAAAACAAAAGGCACATGTATCTGTCCTTGTTCAATGCTTTCGTGTTGAGATCCGCAATGTTATAGTTGGTGCTGACTTGCTTGATGTCAATCTCCCCACCATTTGATTTTTCCTGAAGCCAAAGCAAACGGCCACGTATGTGTCTCAACCTACCTGCTCCAAGTTTCTTTGACAACATACGTACTGCTGAATTGTCCGTGTGAAGGACAAGTGGTTTCACGTTTCCATCGCACAAAAAGTTGATCACATGGTGAAGAAATAAACCATCACATGCCCCTGACGTCGCTGCATACCACTCTGCTTCAGTGCTACTCAATGAAACACATTTCTGACTTCTAGATGTTGACCAAACCACCAAACCATTGACCACATGAACTGCTGACGATGTTGATCTCCCTGACCAGTCTGAGTCTGAAAACGTTTCAACACAATTCAAATCACTTTGGCTGTTTGCGTTTCTCATTGCTTCTTGAAAAGTTGTTCCCTTCTGCAGCTTTCTCATTTTCAACGCAAACTTCTCACTGAACTTCATGTATCCAACCAAACGTCCAAGCTCTGCCCATGACCTGTAGGTCGGTTGCTTCAGGCTAGATGCAAGCGTTTTGGTTGCAAACTGCAAGTCCAACCTCTCTTGGCTCACATACATCGCAATTCCAACA